TATTTGATTAACATGAAATATGGTCAGCACTAGAAATTATGGGTATTTGATTAACATGAAGTAAGGTCAGCACTAGACATTATGGGTATTTGATTAACATGAAGTATGGTCAGCAGTAGAAATTATGGGTATTTGATTAACATGAAATATGGTCAGCACTAGAAATTATGGGTATTTGATTAACATGAAATATGGTCAGCACTAGACATTATGGGTATTTGATTAACATTAAGTAAGGTCAGCACTAGACATTATGGGTATTTGATTAACATGAAGTATGGTCAGCACTAGAAATTATGGGTATTTGATTAACATGAAGTAAGGTCAGCACTAGAAATTATGGGTATTTGATTAACATGAAATATGGTCAGCACTAGAAATTATGGTTGTTTAATTAACATGAAGTAAAGTCAGCACTAGACATTGTGGTTATTTAATTAACATGTATGGTCAGCACTAGACATTGTGGTTGTTTAATTAACATGAAGTATGGTCAGCACTAGACATTGCATAAGTGACTTGTTTCAGATTTAAAAACATTAGTGTTTTTCAGTGACTTTGGATTTAAAGAAGATGATATAATACATATGTGTGTCCGAGATTCTGACAGTGAAGGAAATCCTTATGCAATTCCTGATACGTGCTCTCCAAGCAATTTCTATAACAGGACTAAAGGGTAAGAGGAATTGAAGCCTATCTTAAATCTTTTTGCAAGTCTTTTATGAGGTATTGAACATCTTTTTATGCTTTTGGTGGTGTCTTGTACCATTTATTTTTCTACTTTTCACAGTTAGTATGATTGGTATTTAAAACAAAAGTTTAATATGAAAGATAAACACACAGTTTACATTGCTGCTCATTAGCAAAGGTCAAGATAAAATGTTAAGTGTAACCTTAGGTAGTTTTTGAACTTTTTAAGACACATTGTTTTTTTGAAAATATTATTCAGGATCAAATCATGATGTGGATATTGTTGTAGATTTGTTGTTGTATAATCAACTCTTCTGTGGTATTTCTTAATAGTTACCGGAAAGTGTCAGGTGATACATGCAAGGGAGGCAGCAATTACCGTTATGATCCAGAGCTTATCTCTTGTCCAGATAAAAGTAAGGAGTTAATGTTATTACTCTTGATTTTTTAATCAATAACATTATGTTAGTTTTTTTATTTTTAATGTAATTAGTCAGTAATTTTCGTACTTAAAAAAGGTAGGAATAAATGACAGCTGTTTTGTTATATCTGAAAGGACCAAGTTTGATGCAGTTAATCTGGAAGTTTGATAAGTAGCAGGAATGAATGACAGTTGTTTTGTTATATCTGAAAGGACCAAGTTTGATGCAGTTAATCTGGAAGTTTGATAAGTAGCAGGAATGAATGACAGTTGTTTTGGTAGATTATTACTTATATGTGAAAGGACCAAGTTTGACACAGCTAGTCTGGAAGATAGTACATTTGATAAGTAGCAGGAATGAATGACAGTTGTTTTGGTAGATTATTACTTATATGTGAAAGGACCAAGTTTGATACAGCTAGTCTGGAAGATAGTACATTTGATAAGTAGCAGGAATGAATGACAGTTGTTTTGGTAGATTATTTTTTCACATCCTATGTTAAGGATTGAGTTTAGTACATTTAGTTTCCCAGATTATACCTTTTATATATAACAGGAACCAATGAGAGCTGTTATGGTAATTTGTTACATTCTCTTGACATCCTTTTTTGTTTATTTGGGGAGGGGGAATCCTGGTGAGGAAAGACTCGTGCTTTGTTCATGTTAATTGCTCCTCAGTGAGTAGTTTTTATGAATTAATTTTGTTTGTTACTGATTTGAAAGGAACCTTCATTAGAGAAATGACTTTATTTAATACATATTTCAGTTAAATGCATGTGGCATATACAATATTTTTGTTTTTGCTCTACAAGGTGAGACAGAGTTCTTGCTGTTTGCTCAAAGGACAAAAGTAAGCCGTATCCCACTCAACACAGACAGCGTTACTTGGGATACTCTTGCTCTTCCTGATCTGAAGAATGTTATTGCTGTTGACTATGATTACCACAACAATTGTGTTTTTTGGGCTGATATAAACCAAAAGAAAATTATGGTAAAGTGTGTTATTTATTCTGTGCTGCATTTGCTGTTAAGTCTGAGTAACATAGAATGAAATTAAATGCTTGTATAGAATGTCAGGTTCTGTGTACATAAGATAAAGTTTTATATGCATGAGAAAATTCTTTGTCAGTAGCCTAAAGTTACACTTGTCAACATCCTTGTAAGACCAGTTGTTTGATTTCCCAGGTTACATCTGCATATTATTTTATTTCTAAATATTTAAAAGCATTTTTAATCATCATTCAATTTTGAGTCAAAAATATGCTTGTGTCTGTGTTTCAAATGGAAGTAGTCAGAATATGAATTAAATTTATTACATCAGATGACCAACCCTTTCTAGACCATTAGAATATCACTAATATCCCTCTGTTATATTCGTTCATACAGCATAGATACTTAACCAAATTGTAAGAGCCATGATACAAACTTTCTGAATAGTTCCTAATTTTTACATGAAAAAAGTAAAATTTGATTTAGTATTTCTATTATGTTTTATATTTTGAAGTTTCCAAAATGTTGCTATAAAACACTGTAATAGTTGTTTTGCTTTGTTCTGCCAAATGAATCGGTTGACTACCTGCTATAAATCATATGATCATGGTTTGACTGACAGAGACTTATTGGTGACATCATATTTCAAAATGGCATTACTTTTACCTTTATCAGACGTTTGTAGTATGATGCTTTGCTAATTTTGTTTTTGTTCAAGATTAGTTTGTATATATTAGTTATTGTTTATTCAGGATTAGAGGTGAGTAAACTGTGGCTACCATTGGTTGAGGCTACAGGAAGTCTCTCCTCCAATGAGAAACGTGTTTTAACCAATCAATTATAACACGCTCTTCACAATCCACTAGAACACTATAAAGACCAAACTACACCACACACACACTGACCTGAAGACGAAAGGTGGAAGACTTTCGAAACGTCATCCTCTACATTTGTAGGTTTCTAAAACAGGCAGTTGCTGTCCATTTGAAACTTAGATTCATTAAAGTAAATGTCAAGTTAATTGAAAATGTTGACGTTTGATTGGAAGAAAGAAATATAAGCTTAGGAGGCATCAATTTCTTTTTTTAACCTACATGTTTGGTGTTAACAGTTCAGACATATAAGGATATAACAATGAAAATTTGAGCATTTTAAAAATTGTTATAAGTAAAATAAACTAGATAAGCATTATATAATGCTAAGATATAAGTTCTGCAATATTTTTGAATTAAATTTTGAAATTTTCATTTATGAATGTACACTCAAGAATTCCATGAACACCCACTGCCCTCCCCCAAAGTTAAATTGGTATAATCTGTATGAGAACTGTAGTATTTTCTCATGCAAATTTTAAGAATAATTATATTAATTTTTGCAGAGAATGTGTCTTGATGGACAAAAATCAGCAGAAGTTCTTGTAGAGAAAGATTTAATGATTATTGAAGGGTTAGCTTTTGATTGGATCAGCAAGAATTTATACTTTGTCGATGGTGGACTGGCCAGAGTTGAAGTTATTCGTACTGACATCAATTATGCTGGGAGGATGAGGCGAGAATTGATAAATAAGACAATGGTTGATAAGCCACGAGGTATTGCTGTACATCCTGCAAGAGGGTATGACCATTTTGATTTCTTTGTGAAGTTAGTGGTCAATACTGTTAATGATGATAGAAAATTTAAACTTCTTCTTTAATAAATGTGTAGAGTATTAACTTAATAACAGTAGTACAAATTCTTTGAAACTAGAAAAGTAAATAGGTAAAAATAGTGTTTTGAATAGAACATAAAGAGTTTAATATGTAAATATTCTTGGTCCTTAGACCTCCAGCTTTGTACATTTAAGCTCAGTGATGAATTTCAACTCTACAATGATATACCGTAGTTGCTTATTATTTTAGAATTCCCAACTGTATGCTAATATTTTATAGTAGTGTAAATCAACAGTTTTCTTAATGTGCACATACTGAGTAAATATATAAATATATACAAATATCTCTGAAGTCACACTGTTACAATTTTATGTACAAAACATTGTGTAAAATACACTCATCTCTCCAGAAAAAAATATGTTCTGATATTTGTGAAACAAAAGGGTATGTTGTAACTTACAATGAAAAGTAGAACTTCTCATTGGCACATAGAAAATGTTTAAATGTTTGTGATGTCAAAATACAAAGTCTGTTGTTTTGTATGAATTAGGAACTCAAACTAGAATTTAAATTAAGAGCCCCCTATCTTTTCTGTTTGCTGAGATACTGCTTATGTATTGAATCAAGCACAGTGGCCCTGCTCACCTCTTTCCATTTTTGGAAATGGTCCCTTATATACGCTTACTTCAATATATGGCGTGAATAACCAATCAAAAACCCAGAATGTCCCCCTTGTGGCTTTCTCAGCCATTTTCATTTGTTAGGATGCCATCTCGTTCTTTTGAACCAAGATTTCAAAGAGGTAGGTTGTGTCTTTAGTCAGCTCGAAATTTCAGTTTTTAAACCCAGATACAGCTTAGTTACTAGATACTGCTTGATAAATTATAGTGTAATTTTATGGTATCAATATAGTATTTATGATTTTTTGGTTATTCAACTGTATATATAAAACCTAAAAAAAGATTATTTCATATCCTTCACGTACAAAATTTTAAAAGGCTTGGCAATGTATGTCAAGCATCAACCGAGCACAAAGGTCGTAACTAGAAGAGATAATTGTTTGATTTACTTATTTATTTACTGTTCTATGTTTTAAGAAAAATAAGCTTAAGAATTTATTTGTAAACAGTGATAAAATATATACATGTGTATATTATAACTGAAATGTGACTGTATTTTACAAAATACTTGTCCACTAAAACACAACAAAGACAGGTCAGTTGTATATTATTGGATAAGGTAACATGAGTGCATGTGCATTAAATCATTGCAACTTCTGTAATGTTAACCAGGCACAGCTGAAAGGTCAATATATTAGGTCGTCAAGAGATTAATGTAGTTTTTTTTTAGATGAAAAACCCGAACAACTTGTATATATATATAAATAAAAAAAAAAACTTTGTTAAATGAAATAGTCTCCATTCTTATCGATGATTCTTTTCCATCTTACAGTCAGGTTGTTAATGCCCTGATTAAAGAAATCACTTGGCTTTGAAGCAAAAAAACATGCAATGTCTTCTTTAACACCTTCCACATTTGTATATG